TGAGGTGAGTGGATTGCCCTGAGCCCGCAGGTTCGAGACCCACCTGGGCAGCGAGCAGTGGCACACTCACAGCCACCCCAGCATCGACCTGCTGGGCGCCAGCAATCCTTCCGTCTCAGCCTTCCAAGTAGCTGGAACTACAGGGGCGTGCTACCACGCCTGGCTAATTTTTGATTTATTGTAGAGATGACGTCTCACCAAGTTGCCCAGGTGGGTCTCAAACTCGCAGGTTCAGGCAATCCACTCACCTCAGCCTCCCAAAGCGCGGGGATTACAGGCTGAGCTACTGAACCCGGCCATATTTATATCTTTATTTTTTTTTGAGTCGGAGTCTTACTCTGCCGCCCAGGCTGGAGTGCAGTGGCACACTCACAGCCACTGCAGCCTTGACCTGCTGGGCTCAGATGATCCTTCCATCTCAAGATGTTTTCCAAGTAGCTGAAATCACAGGCGTGTGCCACCTTGCCCAGCTAATTTTCCGATTTATTGTAGAGACGAGGTCTTGCCAAATTGCCCAGACTGGTCTTGAACCCGTGGGCTCTGGTTGAGATGACAGGCATGAGCCACCATGCCCACTGCATACAGATTTTACAATGTCAATGGAGCATTAAATCACCACAAAGAGACCTCACTGGATACCTACACATGAAGTAAAATGAAAGAGGAATATGAAAATAAACAAAAACAAAAAAGCAAACTACTAGAAATTCCAACTACATTGGGCCAAAGAAGAAAATAAAAACTTTTAAAATGTATTTCCAAACGAAAACTCACGGCCCTAAAGGCAAGAAAGAATGCAAACAGGCCGGGCGAAGCAGCTCAGCCTGTCATCTCAGCACTTTGGGAGGCCGAGGTGAGTGGCTTGCCTGAGTCCAGGGCTTTGAGACCAGCCTGGGCAACTTGGTGAGACTTTGTCTCTACAACCTGTCAAAAAATTAGCTGGGAGTGGTAGTGCACATCTGTAGTTCTGGCTACGTGGAAGGCTGAGGCAGAAGGATCGACTGGGCCCTGCAGGAGGATGCTGGGGTGGTTGTGAGCGTGCCACTGTACTCCAGCCTGGGTAACAGAGTGAGACACCGATTCAAAAAAAGAAAAAGCAAATAAATTAACCAAACTGTAAACAAACAAACAAACAAACAAAAAACAGCAAATAAATTAACCAAACTGTAAAAAAAAAAAAAAATCAAGAAGCTAAAAAAGTATGAAAATGTATTAAAGATATTTTCCTAATAAACAAGAAAACAGAAAAAGAGAACTTATAAATACAAGCAGTAGCCACAAACAAAAGAAATGAACAATAAAAATAAGCCAGACCGGGCTGGCTGTGTTGGCTCATGCCTATAATCTCAGCATGCTGTGCCAAGAGGAAAGACTGCTTGAGGCCAGAGTTCAAGACCAGCGTGGGCAACACAGTGAGATCCCATTTCTACAGGAAATTGTAAAAAAAATTAGCTGGGTATGGTGGCACACACCTGTAGTCCTAGATACTTGGGAGGCTGAGGTGGGAGGACCGCTTTACAGTGAGCTATGATCAACCCACTATACTCTATTCTGGGTGACAGAGTGAAACCTCATCTCTGAAATAAATAAATAACCAAACAAACAAACCAACTAGCAAGTCTCATTTTCAAAAAGGGATAATAAACATCATAAAGAGAATGAGAAAAAAAGGAAGGATGGCACTGATACAGAATGTAAACAATATGCTTTGTATAGCTCTATGCCAAAAAAACCTTGACATCTCAAAGTAATAAGCATTTTCTAAGAAAGTTTACCAAGCCGGGCTTGGTGGCTCAGCCTGTAATCTCGCGCCTTTGGGAGGCTGAGGTGAGTGGATTGCCTGAGCCTGCGGGTTCGAGACCCGCCTGGGCAGCGAGACCCCATCTCTACAATAAAATCACAAAATCAGCCGGGCCTGGTAGCGCATGCCTGTAATTCTGGCTACTTGGAAGGCTGAGGCGGAAGGATTGCCGGAACCCAGCAGGTGGAGGCTGCGGTGGCCGGGAGCAGCCACTGCACTCCAGTCTGGGTGACAGAGTGAGATTCCAACTCAAAAAAAAAAAAAGCTTATCAAGAAAAATGTAGAGACTGGGCTTGGTGGCTCAGCCTGTAATTCCAGCACTCTGGGAGGCCGAGGTGAGTGAACTGCCTGAGCCTGCAGGTTCGAGACCAGCCTGGGCAACTTGGCAAGACCTCATCTCTACAAAAAAAAAAAATTAGTCGGGCATGGTAGTGCACACCTGTAGTTCCAGCTACTTGGAAGGCTGAGGTGGAAGGATTGCCGGAGACCAGTAGGTCGATGCTGGGGTGGCCATGAGCATGCCCCGGCACTCCAGACTGGGTGACAGAGTGAGACTCCAACTCAAAAAAAAAAAAAGAAAGAGGCAGAAAACATAAATAATGGGGCAAAAACATTAAAAAGTTAACAGAAAACAAACAGAAACATGTTTTCAAGTGCTTTATTAAAATATTTAGGGAATAGGAGGTAATTCCTATGTCATTTAAGCTTCTCAACCCATTTCTATCAAGTTAGTCATTTTATAAAGCCAAAAAACACTTGAAATCAAATTCTAACAAGGAAAGCACAAAAATAATACACAGAACAACCTCTGCCCAACATGTATTTCCTCCAAAATGTTCAGTCATCAAGTCTTTTAATTCAGGGGTCTGCTTAAATATAACCTCTTAGATGACCACCCTATTTAAATATCACCTCCTCGGGCAACCCCCTTGGGTCCCCTCCCGCCTTGGGAGTATTTCTGTCCTCTCAATAAATTCTGCTTTCCCACCAAATAAATTAATAAAGAAAGAAATATCACCTACTCAGACACACCTTACTTGGCCTCCCTATTTAAAGTGACTCCCAGACCCTCTGTTACATTTCCTCTACTCATCTTATTTGTCATTCATTACAAACAAATTATCTAGAATTAAACCATTAAGAGCAGGGACTTATTCTTGTTCACATGTATAATGACAGAGCCTTAAATGATCAAAATTGATCAACCTAATTGATAAAAAATACATGTTATGTTGGCCATTGCCTTATCAAACGCAGGTGTGGCCATTTGCTCTTTGAGTTATGGCTATCGTCATGTTTCCAGGCTTTGACCCTCACCCTTACTTTGGGGAGGTGAATCTTCTCTTTCTCTCTCTCTGATTTGCTTTCTGAATAAACTATATTTTCTTTCTTTTTTTTTTTTTTTGAGTTGGAGTCTCACTCTGTCGCCCAGACTGGAGTGCAGCGGCACGCTCCCGGCCACCACAGCCTCAACTTGCAGGGGTCCAGCGATTCTTCCACCTCACGTTCCCGGCCACCACAGCCTCGATTTGCAGGGGTCCAGCGATCCTTCCGCCTCAGCCTTCCATGTAGCCGGAACTACAGGCACACGCTACCACGCCTGGCTAATTTTTGATTTATTGTAGAGACGAGGTCTCACCAAGTTGCCCGGGTGGGTCTCAAACCTGCAGGCTCAGGTAATCCACTCACCTCAGCCTTCCAAAGTGCTGGGATTACAGGCTAAGCCACCAAGCCTAGCCAACTATATTTTTTAATCCTTAAAAAAAAAAGAAAAGAAAAGAAAAAAATGTCGAGGCTGGGCAAAGTAGGCCAAGGCAGGAGGATTACTTGAAGTCAGGATTTCAAATCCAGCTTAGTCAACCAAGTGATACCCTGCCCACAAACAATTAAATAATCAGCAGGTGTGGTGGCATAGATCTTAGTCCTGGCTACTCAGGAGACTTAGGCAGGTGGATCCCTGGGGCCCAGGAGCTTGAGGCTGCAGTGAGCTATGACAGTACCACTGCACTGCAGCCTAGGCAACAGAGAGAGAAACTGTCTCTAAAAAAAGCCAACAGGGCTTGATGGCTCATGCCTGTAATCCCAGCATTTTGGAGGGCCAAGGCAGGAAGGTCGCTTGAAGTCAGGAATCTGAGACCAATACAGTGAGACCTCATCTTCACAAAAAAATAGGGGCGTGACAGTATGCCTGTGATCCCAGCTACTCGGGAGGCTGAGGCAGAAGGATCACCTGAGCCTAGAAGTTGAGGTTGCAGTGAGCCGTGATCATACTACTGCACTCCAGCCTAGGCAACAAAATGAGACTCGGACTCAAAAAAAAGAGAAAAATATGTGTTGAATGATTAAGTACTACTTAGGAATGTGTTTTTAGGAATCCAGCACCCTATTCAAATAGCAATAATGAAAACAATAAAATTCTAGAAATCAAAAGGGAAGTGGATACAATTAAACATCCACTCTTCATATAAAGTATACTAAGAATAGATGAACAGTCAACAGGTATTTATTGCAGTTCAGTGTCACATGCTAGGGATACAGCAGTTAATAAAACAAAACAAGATCTCTGTTCTCAGAGCCTCTATCCTAGTGGATCCATCTCAAAACAGCTACCAACATCACACTTTATAACTAAGCATCAGAGGCACTGGAGTGAGGACAAAATGTTTACTACCACTATCAACTAGCATTGTTCTAAAGTTCAATGTGCAAGAAAAAGAAAAGATGCAAAAAACCAAAACAGAATAAACTCAAAAATATGTGACAAGAAAATCCGAAAGAATAAACTCGAAAATATGTGACAAGAAGGTTCACATGAAGGGCAACCCCTTCAGGGTCCCTCCGACTGTGGGAGGTTTCCTGTCCTCTTAATAAATCCTGCTTACACACACACACACACACACACACATACACACCACACACACAAGAAGGTTCACATTAAGATGTCTGGTTAAAAATTAAATATACAAAAGACAATCATTTTCTGAAAGAGACATTAAGAAAAAATAAGGCAGGGGGTACTATACTGAGGGATTTGGTTACCACTTTTTCTATGATTTTATAAACTTCCTCCTTTTAAAGAGTTTTGATTCTGAAAAAAACTTACTTAGGGAAAATGTTCCTGATATTAAAAAAAGATATGTTTTTGGCTCTTTATCAGACAACCGACAAAGACATATGCTCAGACGAAATCTTATTATACCTCTATGTTCCAGTTATGCTGTTCCAAGGTATGGCGACACTGATCCATAGATTCTATGCCAGTCAGATCCTGAAAAGAAGGGTGAGAACAAAAAAGTTACTTAGAGAAACACCAGCGGTACACATGTATGTTTTTTCCCCTATTAGGATACTTATGAATACTACTAGGAAAACACACTACACAGTGTTGAAGTAGACGTTAAAGTATAGTATAAAGACTTTGCTGATTCAGAGTTTATCCAGTCCACTATCTAATCTAGACTCATATAGAATTAAAGAATGATACTTCCTTTGAAAACTTAAAGGATTTCAATTATAAGAACAATTGATTTTTTTTTCTTTTTTGAGTCGGAGTCTCACTTTGTCGCCTAGGATGGAGTGCAGTGGCGCACGCTCACGGCCACTGCAGTCTCAAACTTCTGGGTTCAGGCGATCCTTCCACCTCAGCCTTCCAAGGAGCCGGAACTACAGGTATGTGCTACCACGCATGGCGAATTTTTTGATTTATTATAGAGATGAGGTCTCGCCAAGTTGCCCAGGCTCAAACCTGTGGGCTCAGGCAATCCTCTCACCTTGGCCTCCCAAAGTGCTGGGATTAAAGGCATGAGCCACACTGCACTCAGCCTAGAACTACTGATTTAAATCAATATTCTCTGGCCAGGCCTGTCATCCCAGCACTTTGGGAGGCCGAGGCGAGAGGATTGCCTGAGCCCATGGGTTCGAGACCCACCCGGGCAACTGGGCGAGGCCTCGTCTCTATAATAAGTCAAAAACTAGCCGGGCATAGTAGCGTGCGCCTGTAGTTGCGGCTACTTGGAAGGCTGAGGTGGAAGGATCGTTGGAGCCCAGCAGGTCGAGGCTGCTGCACTCCAGTCTGGGCGACAGAGTGAGACTCCAACTTAAAAAAAAAACAAACAATATCCTCCATTAGCTGGGCATGGTGGCACACACCTATAGTCCCAGCTAACTGGGAGGCTGAGGTGGAAGGATAGCCTGAGCTCAGAAGGGTGAAGCTGTGGTGAGCGGTGATTGTGCTGCTGCACTTCAGCCCGGGCAACCAAGTGAGACTCCAATTCAAGCAAATACATAAACAAACAAACAGTCTCCTTCCAAATTCAAACTTTAAAAATTAAAGACTTCTTCAAGTTCTGGGCTAAGAAAAATATCCTTTAATGTTAAACAACTATTCGGTTTATAATACCGGTTGAATGTCCCAAATGCAAAATCAGAAACTTTGTGACTGCTGACATGATGCTCAAAGGAAATGCTTACCGGAGCATTTCAGATTTCAAATTTTTGGATTTGGGATGCCCAACTAGAATAATGCAAATATTCCAAAATCTGAAGAAAATCCAAAATCTGAAACACTTCTGGTCCTAAGCATTTTGGAAAAGGGATATTCAACCTGTACACAATGAAGTAATACAGCTTTTCTGCAAAATGCCGTGCCTCTCATTAACCTATGTCATTATCTACTTGTATATAACCTAGTTTCCAACATAAACCATACAAAATATTTTATTAGTGTTTGTAATTCAGATATTTCCCCACAGGAAGTATTTTTCCCATACCCTGCTCTTCAGCCTGTTCTAAGGTTCACCTTTTTGGGTTTTTTTTCTTTTTTTTAGGAGTCTCAGTCTCTTGCCCAGGCTGGAGTATACTGGCACACTCATGGCCACCGCAGCTACTTGGAAGGCTGAAGTAGAAGGATCACCTGCTGGGCTCAGGTACCTTCCAAGTAGTTGAACCACAGCCAAGTACCACCATGCCTAGCTAATTTTTTGATTTATTGTAGAGACAGGTCTTGCCAAGTTGCCCAGACTGGTTTCAAACTCCTGAGCTTAGGAAATCCTCTCGCCTCCACCTCCCAAAGTGCTGGCATTACAAGCATGAGCAACCATGCTGGGCTAAGGTTCATGTTGTCTCTGACCAAAGCTGCTGTCTCTGGCCTCTCTTCTTCTATCCCTCCAAATGCAGGACTTTCCCTAAGGATGTATCCTGGATTTCTGTCTCTTCACCAGCCTCCCTGGCAATCTCATTGAACCCTCAGCTTTCAACCACTCTTTTTATGCAGATGACTCCTAATTTAATCTCTGGAAGGGCCATCTATTCTTAAATTTAACAACACATTTCACTCAATATTTCCACCTAGATGTGACACCAGTATCTCAAATTCATCATTTAAAATTGCTGTAACTGCTGGGTTCGGTGGCTCAGCCTGTAATCCCACGCCTTTGGGAGGCTGAGGTGAGTGAATTGCCTGAGCCCGTGAGTTCGAGACCCGCCTGGGCAGGCAAGACCTCATCTCCACAATGAATCAAAAAATTAGCTGGGCGTGGTAGCGCGCGCCTGTAGTTCCAGCTACTCGGAAGGCTGAGGCAGAAGGATCGTCGGAGCCCAGCGGGTTGAGGCTGTGGTGGCCGGGAGTGGCCACTGCACTCCAGCCTGGGTGACAGAGTGAGACTCCAACTCAAAATAAAAATAAAATAAAATAAAATAAAATTGCTATAACTGTTAGCGACACCAACATTCTCTAAAATATCCAGGCAAAGATGAACCTGGAATCTCACCCTCATCTTTGAGCACTCCATCCCTGTAACTCCACCCGTCAGTAATCGAGTTAAAACGGTTTATTTACTATTTTATCCTATATCTGTAATCACATTCCCATTCCCACAACCAGTTTTTTTTTTTTTTTTAGTTGGAGCCTCACTCCGTCACCCAGGCTGGAGTGCAATGGCATGCTCACGGCCACCCCAGTGTCGACTTGCTGGGCTCAGGCGATTCTTCTACCTCAGCCTTCCAAGTAGCCGGAACTACAGGTATGTGCGACCACACACAGCTAATTTTTCTGATTTATTGTAGAGATGAGGTCTCACCAAGTTACCAAGGCTGTTCTCGAACCCGTGGGCTCAGACAATGTCCTCACCTTGGCCTCCCAAAGTGCTGGGATTACAGGCTTGAGCCACCGCGTCCAGCCTCCAGAATCTTTAATCAAGTTTTAATAACAAGTAAACTGCCATAATTTAATTTCTCTTTCTCCTTTTGACTCTTCTTACCATTTATTTGTGTGTGTGTGTGTGTGTGTTACTGCTCTGTTCAAAATCTTTCAGTTGACTGGATAACAAATTCTAAATCCCTTGGTCTGATATTTGAATGTTTCTGTAATGTGGCCCCAGTCTAGCATATTTTCTCAGTATTTCCTTTCAAATGTCCAATACTCAGCAAATCTAATAGCTCATATATACATCTCAAGCTGAGAATTTCCACAGAGCTAAACCCTGGCCTTCCTTCAAGGTCCGATACAAAAACCAAAACCATCCACTCATCCTTTCATTCAACAAATGTTTACTACATGTCAATTCTATATTAGCTACTATGTCCAAAGGATATAAGATGAATAAGATATAGTCTCTATCCTCAAGAAACTCCTCTCAAAAATCAGCAGGCATCAGGACAAGGAGACTGACAAGAATGTGGTAGCACAGGCCTGGTGTAGTGGGTTATGACTATATCGGCACTTCGGGAGGCCAAGGTGGAAGGAATGCTTGAGCCCAGGCATTTGAAACCAACCTAGGCAACACAGTGAGACCTTATCTCTACAACAAATTAACCAGGCGTGGTAGCGTGTGTCTGTATCCCAGCTAATCAGGAGGCTGAGACAGAAGCATCTCTTGAGCCCAAAAAGCCTGGGCTATGGTAAGCTGTAGTTATGTGACTGCACTCCAGTCTGGGTGACAGGGTGAGATCCCGACTCAAAAAAGAAACAAAAGAAAGAATGTGGAAGCATGGACTAAAGAGTTGGAAGACTGTAGTTCTGGCTTTGATTCTGCACCCTATGGCCATGGACAGGCACGTCTTGACACTGACTGGAGCTTCCTTTGTGTGCAACATTAGGGGTCTAATTTGGATTGGACTTTCTTTCCAGACTTTAAACAACAAAATTCAAGAACTGAAGTTTGGATTCTTTAGGTATGCAATTGTTTATTTTTAAAAACTACACAAGTAGCAATAAACTGGCTAATGCCATTTTTTAATGTTAAAAATAATTAAAAATTTCAAGACTGAAATTGAAAAGCTCTGTAAGAACCAGTGACTCTCCAGCCTGGGCAACTTGGTGAGACCTGACTCTACAATAAATCAAAAAATTAGTTGGGCATGGTGGTGCACACCTGTTGTCCCAGCTACTTGGGAGGCTGAGGTGCAAGGATCACCTGAGGCCAGCAGATCGAGGCCATGGTGGCCCTGAGCAAGTCACTGCACTCCAGTCTGAATGGCAGAATGAGACTCCAACCAAAGAAAAAAAAGAACCCCTGATTCTGACAGGTACGACAGTCTGGATTTGTGTTCTATTCCCATCTGGCCATGGCCTTTTGGCTTCTAATGGGGCCCCCCTTAACTCGTAATTTCCCACATTACAGCCACTAAAGAAATGGCATGTTCAGGGCTTCTCCTTCTCACCGTGGATTCTCTTTGAAGACGTGGACTCTAAAGGCACCTTCTCCTCGGGGTGCAAATGATGACTACCTCCTCTCAATACCCAAACTCTTTTCTACCTCTCTTACACGTCAGTTGTGTCCTATCTTCTGACTGTCTATGTTCATTCAACTGCCTTCTCAGAGGATCTCTGAGAGCAGAGTTTGTGACTCATTATAATACTCCCTAGTACCTGACCCACAGTAAGGGCTTAAAAAGTTAGTTCGGCCGGGCTCGGTAGCTCAGCTTTGGGAGGCTGAGGTGAGTGGATGGCCTGAGCCTGTGGGTTTGAGACCCACCCAGGCAACTTGGCGAGACCTCATCTCTACAATAAATCAAAAAAAATTAGCTGGGCGTAGTGGCACGCATCTGGAGTTCTGGCTACTTGGAAGTCCAAGGCGGAAGGATCGCCGGAACCCAGCAGGTTGAGGCTGCGGTGGCTGGGAGCGGCCACTGTACTCCAGTCTGGGCGACGGAGTGAGACTCCAACTCAAGAAAAAAAAAAGTTAGTTCAAGTTAAAAAGACCTTTTTGTATAAGCTTCAATAATCATAGCTCTAAGCTGAAATCCTCTAGATATTATCAAAAAATCTCA